TACAACAAACGATATTACCAAGATTCAAATACGCCATTAAAAGTAAATATAATTAATTATTGCTATATTACAATTCAATAATTAATGATTAATTAATTAAATATGTGATTGTAATATTATTATTGAAAGATGTTACTATTATCCAGAAGAAAGTTATTATTTTAACTCTAGAGAATTTAATGTTTCACTAAAGGTGCAAAGATAACGAATCATAAAATATTTTGGTGAGTCATAAATATAATAAAATATATTAATATATTAATATATACGCAATTAATAATAGATACTAATAAAAAAAAATATAAATAAAGAATAAAATAATAATAAAAAATCAAATAATAATTCTAAGCTCAACAGGGATCTTGACACTATTTCACACTACGATGCAGGTCTAATGATGCATGTCGAAATTTTTGCCTTTAGCCTTTGACATAACTAAAATCTTGATTAGAAGTAGCTTCTCGCCAAGGGCCATTATAACGATTTGACCAAAGTAAAAACCCTTGACGAAAGTAAAAAACATTAACTAAAGTTAGAAAGCACTTGACGAAAGTAGTGAATCTTGACATTAGTAAAAGAAATTTTTTTATTAAAGCAATTATACCATAAAGATTATAATTGAAGCCTTTTTTTTGAGAGAGTCTTTTCTGTTTTTTATTTCTATTTTGCTACTTGTCACCTTCTCTCCCTCATCTCGCGTATTGAGATAATTAAAGTAAATTTTTTTAAGTTTATTGGTGTTTTTAATTGTAACATTAAATATTCTGGGAAAATTTTTCTGATATAATTTATTATCATTTCTAATAAAATAATCAAATACAACATGCATAATAATAACCTTATTTAATAATAAAACTCATAATATACATGTAATGATTTTTACTTTATTGTGAATTTTGTAATTTTTTTTCTCCAATTGAAGTCTTAACATTAATGCTGTATCTTGAATTTCTTTTGAATTTCTGTATATTTTTACGAGAGGAACCTACCCGAAACCTAATTAATACTAAACCTAAACTTTGATATAATGTTATTCTCAATTAAAGTAAAACTTATGTTTATAACAATCAATTAGGTCTCGAAAAAGTTTGGAGCTTTAAATTTTCCCTAAATTAGTTTTGGTTTCAGACCTTTCCTAATGTTAGAGTATCGGATCATACCATTATTCTTAACCTTACTTTGTCATCTCTTACGCGGTATTTAATATAATGTCAATCATTTAAAGACTTCACAAAACGTCGCCAATCTTTAAACCTGATATGTTTCTAAATATGGACTATTCCAGCTAAAACTCTCTAGTTTCGAATCTTTAGACATGAAAAATAATGCAATTAATAGAAAGTCTATTTTTGTAAAAAAAAGTATTCGAAATTTCGTGGAATGTTTTCACGGTTTCGCTGGTTTTTTTCTCTATTTGTGAAATTAAACTGATCGTCATATTGATAAATAAATAAATTTTTTTTTATACCCAAAAGCACATAACAAAACAAACAAATATTACTTCGTATCACTATTGAAATATAAACATTATATAATAAATAGTAAATATCGTATATTTGTTCCATAAAAAATATAACCACTAATAATCCATAAAAAACTTCTATTGATTATTGATTATTAGAATTTTTTCTGTGATCTTACAAATGCCCACCATTCTAAAAAACAATAATCAGTTTTGTGGATAATTAATAAAATTCGATAGTTTTTTGATGCTATAATAATATTAATTTCAATAACATAAATATCCAATTCTTTACTCCGGGAATGACTAATAAAAGAAAACATGTAATACTGACTTATGTTTCTACTTACTGTTATTTATTATTATCACTATTACCACCTTCACCACCTTCCATCATGTATAAGCGAGACTTTTAACAACTCCCATGCAAGTCACTGTCCAACAAGCAGACAGTACCAAGCCAACTTTGAGCATATATAACTTTGTACCCTAAGTCTTTTTCATCTGCAAAATCGTTCGAATATAGAACAGGTAGAGCCTGATTCGTTGTGATGGCTGCTGCTACTAACATTGAAGTTTCTATTAAAACACTTATTATGAACTTGATATTCATTCGTGCATTGCAGCAGTAAAGCCTTTTTTGTCCAAGAACAAAGAGGAAAACATTTGAAATGTACGTTTGGAGAAGAGAAGTTGGAGTGTTGGGAGGAACATTGGTAGAACAATGACAAATCGGATATCGTCCGAATTATCCAATTTTGACCTATTACAATTATTATTAGCTAACCAATTGGTGTCGATTTATGGCGTCATTCAGTAATTAATTGACATAAATTGACAGCAATTTCAAAGTCTAATTGGATATCTTTTGGTTTGACTAATTGATTCTTTTCCAAAATATTTTTGCCTTATATCACAGGAAAAAATCATCATCCCTGATTCGTAACAGTTACGCAGACCAATCACATCTGATTGACAAGAATGTCCTATGCTCGGTTACACTTGAATCCATTTATAAAAAATTAATTGACCATTAAATATATATTTTATTTTCATTATTGTAATAGTAGCATTTGATTTAAATGGATTCAAAAATTTTGGAAAAGTATTTCAATGAAAATGAAAGATTATTAAATACAGAAAATTTTTATGATGTAAAAATATATCTTGGTACAGAACTAAACATTAAAGAAGTTCATGCACATGCATCTATCATATCTGCTCATTGTCCATTTTTCAACAATGCATTAAATGATGCAACAAAAGAAAATGGTTATTATATTGTTAAGAAAGTTAATATCAATGAAAAATGTTTTAAGCTTATTCTCAAGTAAGTTTAAATAAATTTATTATTTATTTATTATTATTATATTATTTTATTGAATATATAGTAATGTTAATAATTTATTTTATTGTTAAAAGATTTTTATACACATGTAAAATTGAATTTGAAGGTTATTCTGGAGCTGAAGTATTAGAATTAATAATTGCAGCAGAGCAACTTGGTATTGAGTCACTCTATGAATATATGATGAAATACTTTACAGAAAAACATGAAGATTATATAAAAGAAAATCCAGTTAAAATTTTACAGTTGATTTATGCCAATGAAAAATTTAGTCAATTGAAAAATATCTACTTGGAAAAGTTTTGCAATTATAGTGAAAAATTATTTGAATCAAGTGAATTTGAATTGTTGGAAAAATCAATTTTATTAGAAATTCTCAAAAGAGATGATTATTTGGGAAAACATTCTTAAATGGGGATTGGCAAAACATCCAGAAATCAATAATATCAATGTTGAAGATTGGTCACCACAAAATTTTATTGATATGGGCAACACATTAAAAGAATTTCTTTCTCTAATAAGATTTCAGGATATTTCTAATGAGGATTTTTTTGATAAAATTGAACCATATAATCTGCTTTTTCCCAGAACATTATGGAAACCACTTTTACAACATTATTTGATTCCTTATAGACAACAAACATTAAATTTATTACCATCAAGAATTAATTTATCACTTGAATCATTGACTATCAATCAAAATCTTATTTTGCTTTTTGCCAATTGGATTGACAAAAAAAGTCCACAATATAGTTCATTCAGGGAAGTAAAATATGAATTTAAACTTATATATTGTGGTAGTAGAGATGTTTTAAGTGTAGCTGCTTTTCATCAAAAATGTGATAATATCAATAAAACTCTTATAATTGGCAAAATACAAAATTCAAATCAATTAGTAGGAGGTTATAACCCACTTGATTGGAATTTGAATAATGGAGATTCCATATTTAAAAATACAACTGAAAGTTTTATTTTTAATATTAGTAATAGAAATGATATTTATTCTGCACAGATTAGTTATGTTATAAAGAATCATGATAAAGCAATTATCTGTCATTCTGATTATTTAGCTCTTTTTGGTGGTGGTTGTGATCTTTTTTTTAGAACAGACAGCACTGTTAGTAATTACAGTAGTGAAAATTCTTATGATAACATTAATATAGTAAATGGTAGTAAATATGATGAATTAAAAGTATTTCAAATAATTGGTAAAAAATAAATTAATATTGTTATATGAATGAATTGAATATTTTCTACTTGCATTCCAATATAATATTTGAAACAATTAATCAGTATGAGATTTATAATATTTAAAAATTTATTTTGCACATTTGTATATTTATATTTTTTGCAATAAAAATGAAAATTGATCAATTAAACAAACAATATTATGAAAGAAACTCATCATTTGAATATAAATATAGATTGACCATCTGTCAATCCTAACAATACCAAACAAAAAAATAAAGCTTTAAAATAACTTGACCTTGAAAGTGGATTGATGATGTGGTTCAGATGGTTGGGTTTCAAAATTTAAGAAAAGAAATAATATATAAAGCAATATGAAGAAACTCTTTCTGAAGAGAAAAGAAAATTAAAAGCAATAATCAAGAAATTTCCTCAAGAATATGTGCATAACTGTTGTGATGAAACTGGCAAAATTAGTTTAATGTAATTATAAACCAATTAAATATTAGGTTTGCTTGGGATTTAGAAATTATAAACTGATCCTCTCTTTCTGGCACTAAAAACGAATGACCCTTTTATTTGACCACGAATGCAACAGGAACTGTTCTTATTTATCAAAAACATAATAATTCAAAGCTTCCAGTTGATTGCTATTGGACACAAAAAGCCTGGATGCAGGTTTCTATTCAGAATCAATATTTGGTAAGGTTGAATAGGAGAATAACCGAAGAAAATAAAAATATTTTACTATTGTTTGATAATGCTCCAGTATACATTCTTGACCAAAAAAAATGCTTTAACAAATATTGCATTCCATCATTTTCCTCCTAATTCAACTGCTCATCTACAACCTGTTGACGTGGGAATTATAGATTCTATTAAAGTTTGTGTTGACTATCATTCTTTTCAGGCTCATCACGCAGAATTGATACTTACGATTTGCATCAAAGTCTTAATACTCCTCTTGAACAACTTAAAAATATCAGATGCAATTAAACTTAGTACTAAATATTAGAAACTGTTTGTTAAAGACAGGATTTTATCTGTTGTAGATGGTGTAATGGAAATAAAAACAAGTGGTATAAACGATCAACTCATTCAAGAAGATTGTAATTAATAAACTAGTAAATATTGAAATTTCTGATGAAATCCAAGAATTTTGAAATGTTGAAATCAATGATAAAGAATAGCTGAACATGAATTAGTAGTTACTATACAAAAAAAGAAGCATTGAATACTGTCTTTTCTTTATATTCAAGATCCACCTGAAAATCTTACTTTTGAATAAAAACCATATATCCAAACATACCGCTATTCTTAAAAAGCACATTAGATAGTTAGCTTACCAATAAATTATTTCCGTTATAATTAATTTATTTAAAAATAAATTTTTTGCCGATATAATAGTGAAGTTTTTGTAAAAACCAACTCCTCCTTGCCAACTGTATTAATATTTATTATAATTATTGTTTGATAGATCTCAAGGCTTCTTATCAATCTTTGCTTCGATCCTATGGTTTCATTATAATAACACTCTATCAATTCAATCGATTTCATTATTTATAAAATTAATGTTGTTTGCATTTTTATTGTTTGTTATTAAAACCAAATAGGCTATGCTAGGACAAAAACTCACGTGAACATGACTCAAACAACCAATATGTTCGGTAAAATTTATTATATTTTTTTTCTTTATTGAATATTTATCATTGGATAACCATATTAATTATATTTATTTTTAATGGCATGCGTATTTTGAGTCTTGGAATTACAATACAAACCATATCTGGTAATATTTTCATCTGTTGTAATAATATTTAATGAATTTACTCGTTAATAATGAATTGTAATATAGCAATAATTAATTATATTTACTTTTAATGGCGTATTTGAATCTTGGTAATATCGTTTGTTGTATTTTTCATTCGTTTGTTATTATTATTATTATTATAGTAGTTGGCCTGCTTGTTAGTAATGAAATTATAATACAATAATAAAGAGTCATTTTGGCTCAAAAGGTGAAAATTATAACAAATATCGAATGGTTTCATTTGCTCCCAATTAATGTCGTTTGAGATACTGATTTCCAGATATATTTTAATTCATTATTAAATTACTTGTTTATTTTTATTTTTGATAAAAACAATTTAATTTATATTAATAATACTAGATCTTATAATGTACCAGTTGAGGTGGAACATTGTAAAAAAATTGAAATAGATGGTAATGAAAGCCCGAACATATTTCTGACGAACTTGGGATGAAAAGAATCGAAAAAAATTAAATAATGAACGCTAAATAATTTACGAAAATTTTTATGATATCATTCCACATGTATTGTGATGTAAGTGTATTGTCTATATTTGTCCTTGAAAAAAAATTAAAAATTTGGCATTTAATTTAAAAAAAATATTGCGTAAAACGATAAAACGTAACTTAGCATAATAAAACTTACTTGTTACAGTAAATTCCTCGGATCCATTCACTGTACTTTTTATAGTTGAACACATTATAAATTTAATGGCAAGGAAAAAAGTCCAGTGATAGTAAGTTTGTGGAGTACGTGATTTATTATTAAAGTGATATGATGTAGGCAATCAAATCATTAAAAAAAATTGTTTGGTTTCCTTCTTCATAATAATAATACCCGAGAAGAATTTTGAAAAGGTAGATAGTCCCTTTAATTTTTCGCCATAACATATGGCAATTCTGTAATAATATTACGGAGCTCGCCAGAAAAAAAATTCCTAATATCATAACTACAACATCGATAGCCTAAAGAAGAAGAATTCTATCAGCAAGCTAGAAAAAACATTATTATAAGTTCACTTATTATTTAAAACAGATCTCTCCAATTGAAACTTCGTCCTCGGAAGAATTAATGTTTGTAGATTGGAATAAAGTACTGATCTAACTCAAACCCCAAATCTCAAACAGACAGGACAAGTTTACAGAATGCATATTAAATTGAATCTGCGATTTTTTTGTTCTCCGATTGAAAAATCTACCTTAATATTAATGTCAACAACAAAGAG